GTGTTGTTTAAATCTTTACTTGAGTTACTATATCTATATGATACAGTAAGATATTTATAAATATTGTTGTTTATTAAATTTATATATACAAGAAGGCTGTCTTCTCCACGCTATGCCATAAAATTATTGTCTTGTTACTGTCTAGATTTATTTTTTTGATTATTTCAAAGTAACAATTTAAATGTTTTCTTAATAAAAAAAATCACAAACTATCACTTTCTTATATTATAATTATGAACTAAGTAACGGTGAGTTATTTGATGATTATTGCTCATAGTTGTTTGAAACTTGTAACCACAAACTTTTCTGAAGTTCTCACAAAGCGAACAAATTTTTGTGATGCTTAGAAATAAATGCTATGAAAATAGTCAAAACTGATGAGCAGCATTTATTTTTTAGTCATGAGTGTTTTATAATCTTAGACTTTAAGTTTTCATTTCAATTGGGGGCAGTTCGTGATAAAGTCTTGAACTAAACGTATCATGTCACACAATCGGAATATTTTAATGCTAAAATTTTTGTCATAATGTTATAAACAGATTTAATAGCAGTGATAGTTAACTTACCCACATATTTCTACTCGAACAGCTTGTTTGTAGCTGCCATGATTGACAACAAGCAGTGATTCCTTATCTTTACTCTCAGCAACTCTTGGAAAAATCACTTTTTCCTGAAAAACAAAACTCTGTTAGTAATGGTCTTAAAAAGTAAATCACATATACACTACTTAATTTGGTTACTAATTATTTAAAAAAAAAAAAAAAATTTCGGCTGTTCCAAAGTATATCACACGATATTAAATCCTTCTCATTCAAAGCAGTAGGCTAGTTACGTAGTTGTCGGTGTATCTTTTTCCTAGATATTTTTATTATATAAATATAACTGGATTAGTTGTTCCTTATAAAAATGCAAAAAATGAGCTCTGCTAATAAGATAATAACAGGGAGAGTAGCGAGAAGAGTAGATTTTTGAAATTTCTGTTAAAAATTGAAAAAGTAACGTTTTTTATCCTATTTTTTTGCAAAAGTTGTGGTACATAGGTTATTGTGTAAAATTTATCTCTGCTGGCCTTCAATGTATAAAAAATTTTAGCACGATAGGTCGTTTTTTTCCAAGTAATTAAGCCTAAAGTTCTTTTTGTTGCCTTGAATGCAAAATGCAACGACATTCCCAGAGACGTATTTTACTGGTCAAAACCGAGTTAAAAAAATGAAAAAAAGTTTACGAATTTATTGCCCCGTTAGAATTTAGAAAACAAATTACTCCAACAGATTTTACAACTTTTTTGGAATACTACTTGCCAGATGTATAAACTACAAATCATTTTTAATAATTAATAATTGATCAATAATCGTTTTTTAAATTTATCTGCTATCACGAAATGTTTCAATCAACAACCCAGCTTTTCAAATAACACAAAGTAAAAAATAAATTTTTGTTCAAAAAGCCATTAAAAAAAGGTAGGGTTTGACAAATTTGTAGTATTTTATTACATAATCATTGAAAAGTCAGGTACTTCTCCTATTTAAATTCAAATGAAGAAAGATTAAAGTGAGTAATGAGTTATAATTAAAACTTACGTATGAGTTACATAGTGAAGCATCTTCTGGAGAAACATTAAGTCGATTTTCTACGTCAGGGATCTATGGAAATTTTTTTTTTAATAGTTATAACACATCTATTTTAGGACCATATCTTGCGAGTTGTTCCAACTTAGTTGGAGTTTCCTACTTCAGTGACTAGGTCGTAGTGTATTTATAATATTACATTGTTATTTATTGCACTAATAGCTACTTTCTCGAAAAAATGACGTCAACTTTTTATTATTAATAATAAAGCCTGACTTGAGGACCTAAATGAACAGAGTATTTTTTTTCAAAAGTAGCCTATAAAGAATAAAAATATGTTTTTATAAGTTAAGGAGGTTATAGCGTACGGTAATGTCAACTTCGAAAGTAAGTTTTTGGGAATAAAGAAAGTCTCACTTTAATCAATTACTGTATACATTGTCTTTGCACAAATATTTTGGGAAGCCAGGGGGGGGGGTACCAATGAAAATGTATGGTAGGGCTGTACGGATATATGGAGGTTGGAAAACTTTTTAGGTTTAAATAATAATTCAATATTGGGTTGTAAATGATTAAGTTACCTCTTATTTCGGGAAAGACTGTAGGGCGCCGAGTAGAGGGCTATAAAGGAATTGTGAAATGCCTAACACTAATCAATTTTTGATTAACCTAAGCCGTAATCAGTAGAAAAAAGTGTTGATGTCTCTTTTTGACATTGCAATGAATAATACAAGCCCAAATTTAACATGATTGTATAAGAATTCAGGGAGAAAAATGAGAAATACGATATCAGATATGTGTATAATAAGGTATTGAATATCAGTTTTTATTTGTTCCACAATTTCTCTATTATTTCAACGGTGCTTTATTTATTTAAATTTGAGGAATAAATGAAAATTTTTTTTCGAGAAAGCTATTTGTTCAATAAATAATTTTATTAATCGATTAAGTCAAAGTCACAAAGTATGTAAAGTAGGAAGGTTTACTTATGTTTGGAATATTTTAATAATATCATAAATTATACTTCAACTTACCAAATCAGCTCCAGAAAATAATGATTTTATATCTTTACTTGTTCGTAAAAGATTTTCTATAAAATCCTCAGGATAATCAGTCGTATTTTCACAGAATGTAGCATTCTCACAAACATGATTAAAACTTGGCACCAAAAAAGGGGATTCCTCAGTTGGGAAGACAATTTTACCATCTATTCTACTACTATTGTTACTGAAATCTGAAAAAATTTTTCGGAGGGTATAAGTTTGTGTACAGAATCATAAATTTTTGTAGCAATGTAAGTTAAAAGCTAGATGTATTTAAAATTAAAACTTCACGGTCCAATAAATACTAATTTATCAGTCTACAATTACAATTTTTTAATAGTTTTAATTTAAACGTGCTAATTTACTTTTGCTACTTTCATTTTTAAAATTAAATTTTTGGTTTCTTATTATAAAACAAAAATTTAAAATGATCTACATCATCATCATATTTTTTTTTAAGTTAAAAAAGTTGTGGCTCAAGGATGGTATCAAGCTTTCAACTTTAAATTTTTTCTAAGAAATTAACAAATACTGGGGTTAATAAATTTTATACATACTGTCAGTTTCCTGGGACAAAATATTCCTTTCAGTCTGAAGATGACTATAGCCTTTCGTTTCATGTTTCCATGATAAGTAAGAGCTGTTCATTGAAGATATTTCAGAACTACTGTAACTTGAACGTGGTAGAGCTCCAACTTTTTTGATGATCTAAAATAATATTGTTCAACTAATTACTTACTGAGCTATGGTGATTAATCCATTACTTACTTAATTGAAAAATCTTAATTTTCCAAAAACTATCAAGTAGCAGTAGGTTACTAATTAATTAATGATAAATGTTTCCCATTTTTATTAATATTATTATGTAAAGCTTTAATTTTTTTGAAACTTTATCTCTTAAAACATTGTTTTTACATGAATAACAACAATAATAATTATAATAATAATAATACAGTAATTAATATAGGATCGTAGTGAGCACGAATAAAAGACGCAGCAGGTAAAAATTGTTTAACTGATGGAAAATATAATAAGCAAAATATGTTAAGACGAACTGGAAAGCATTGTTCTTAGTCATCAGTATCATAATACTTTTAAATCGTGTGTATTTTTGTTTTACTCAATTCAAGTTTGCCTGATGATTTATTTTTACCTACATTTAAAAATTCGTACCCAAAAGTGGATAATTATATTACAAAAACGAAAATAATAATTATTTTCCTACAAACATTTATATCGTTTTCAAATAGAAGTTTAATGATAAAAAGAATAAGTAAAAATGTCTTACAAAAACTGCAAAGGAGATAAACTTGATATGTTTTAAGTTGTAAAACATGCAGTCTTGTAGTAATTATATTTGTAACGAATATTCATCTTTTTATCACACGGAACCAATTATTTACTTGAACATTTAAAAAAAGTATGTTCTGACTCTAAAATTCAAGTTATTTAAATGTATAAATGACAAGATAAAAAATTCACTTATTTCAGGGGCAATGTTATAATTGTAGGCCTGTAAAAAATTCTGAATTCTCTAAATGGTAATAAGTAAATAATTTTTATCAATATGAGATGGTATTTTAGAGACATCGATAATTTTATTTTTTACAACTTTTGTAAAGATGAGATCACATTTTAATATCAACAATTGTAATTATATATACTCTTAGTATCGCCAACAACGCTGTTATTATCATCATCATTATCATTTTTATTATCATCAACTTTTTTTAATCATTATTATTAGGTCAATCAACATTAGTTGGAAATCCATCTTAAAAAAGTACCAAGCTATTAAACATTGTCATGAGAAATATTTTTAACAAAAGTTGTATGTTGCAGAAACATAAAAAGAGTATTACTATTTACTGAAATAGAATAGTATAGCAGCTTTATTTTAATGTAACTTTATCAGACGTTGAGGTTTTTTAGCTAAACTACATTTTTCTGTGCAATGTTATACTATCTGTACTACAATACATCGTTTAATTAACATAACTGTTATTCATAATGTTATTTCATAAATAACACATTACATTTTTATAAGTTGACCAAGGGTGAACTATTCAAACTCAACTGACAATAAAATAAACTATTCAAATTTTTAGATTTCATCAACCTCAACTGTTTCTAATTATTTACGAAATCTTTCCTTGGATTTAATAATCTTTCTTATAAAATGGTTACATTCTAGTAAGTGTGGTGCATGATGTGATCGGTAGACTAGTTTCATTAACAAAAGCGTTACATTTTAGTCAATAGTAAAAAAAACTATCAATGCGGTTTAGTTAATTCAACTTCACCCTTGTAAAATTAGTTTTTCCAAGCATATACCAAAAGCAATTACCATTGAAATACTATTACATTTTATTTCTCATTTTACTCACGATCGTAACAAAAAATACTCTTATTCGTGAACGTCGATTGAATTTTGCATGGTTATTTCTGAAACGTGCAATATTTTAGTATCCATGTGAGATTTTCAAGCGGTCTAAAACATCATAAGTTTCATCTCCAGTTACTTGATATTAACACAAACTAAAAACTCGATTCTAAAGCCAAAAAATGAGATTCAGCCTTTCCAATAAGTGTGCATCATTTACATTTACTATCTACATTCACTATCTATATTTGCACACGAAAGCCGTCTAATTAGTTTGAAAGGTAAATATCGCTCATTTTACCAAGAGAAACATATTCTTACGACGATACTACTTTGGGCTACGTCCGAATTAAGTACAAATACATTAAACGATGAAATTGATTTTTTCTAACTACGAAACGGTATAATTCAAGAGTTCAATAGCTGATTACACGAAAACATTCAACACGTGTAATTCAAAAATTACCAAATAAATAAATTCATATGGCCACAACTAAAATGTTGCCTTTTAGTTAAGAATCATTTTTAGACATATTAAAAAGGCTCAAGAAATCTTCAATATTAATAAACATTAGACACTAAACGTAAGAAATTGAATTTTTAAATTGGATGTGTTACAGTATTAAATTGTTTGGCTATTTAATAGTTTACACATTCGTTAGCAAAGCAAGTTTTTCAGTTATTATTTAGCAACGAGCAAAAAGAAAAAAATAATGTACAAGATATAACAAATTTTGGATGTGAAAAAATAAAATATGTAGTTTTTAATAGCAGATACATCAAATAACGCTGTTTTCATAAAATAACCATAAACATAAATGTATTTTTTTCGTAAAGTGATATATAGTAAGTATGTGTTTTCGTAAATATTTTACCAAAATATAAAACATCACAGTAGTCGATCTTTTTAAAGAGGTTGCCATAGCATCGATAGTGTAAAAGACACTTGAAAATATCGTAAAAACTTCACTTGTAGAACCAGTCATTCATTTACTATCGCGTATACAATTTTGTATAATTTATATAAAAACTGCGAACAAATACTATAATGTCTTCAATTTTTGAACCAAAGTAGATTTTTTTAAAATCTAATCGCAAAGCACACGCGTAATGAAAATAAAACAAAATGTAAGAGCACACGAGTAAAACGGCAAAATATCTCGTTGTCAGGCAGTCGATGAAAAAATAATGTTGGAACCGCTGTGGCAAATGAATATATGCGGAACTTGTGATTATACACATGCGAAGTCACTACTTGACTTACGTGCGCTCACATGTCCGTGCCACTTCTGATGGCAGTCGCTGTTGTTACTGTTTTTGCTGTGAGTTTACCACCAATCTTTCTCTCTTGCTCTCTTTTTTCCTCTACCTCAAGCACAGCCGACGGACTAGCTAGGTGGAGAGACATCGCCTGTACTCTGAAAACCGGCATATACACTGACGCTCAACGAGTGAGGTGTATTTAAGTGCCAGCAATGCGCACCAGTACACGTAGCTCGGGGCTTTCGAGCCACCATCCTGCTATGAGTGGGGATACCTATTCTTTGGTGTAAGTTGTATTTTAATGCTAAAACACATTTACGGAGCCTTCCATTTAGTTGAGACAAGTGTTTTAACGTTATAAGTTAATCAAATTATTCATCAAACTGCTGCACTCATTTTTAGGTTTTCAAAGCATGTAATGGAAGATGTACCTTTTGTTTTTTGTGTATAATCAACATTCCATCTGATTTTTATGAATTATAAATGACTAAGAAAAATTTACAATTCATTTTTTGGCAATATATAATTTTTATTAAGCCTGACTTTTTTTTATGGCATATTTCAGAAATTGATTACCAGAATAGTCTTTTCTACACTTTTATTTGGATTCACATCCAATTCGAATTTTTCATTCAGAATTCGCACTCGAGTTTGCATGCACGTATGAATTATTTATTGCACTTTTGACTATCCATGATTACAATAAGTAAGACACGTATTTTTTCTTCACGTATTCCTGTAAAGTATTTTTTTTTAATGAAATGAGTAATTAAAAAAAACCAGAAGTCCGTGGGTACCCAAGTATGAAGTTAAACTTCTATAGAAGACAATCTAAAAATGTAACTGTATATGTATGATTCGGAGGTGGTACAATTATACTTGGAATTAGGATATTTGGTGATTGGGTGTGATTTCAATCGATATTTTAATACTTAATTAATAAACAGTTAAGGACGTTAATCACCGCTCGTAGGGCGAAACCAAAGAACGATAAGAGAGGAGTGAACAAATGGGGCAGCACCAGCAACTTTTTTTCTTGTATGAGTATATCTATATACATGCACCTTACCCTATTTTTTTATTTGAATGTCAAAATAACTTGTATATTCTTCCGAAAAATTGATGTAATATTTTTTTATAGTATTGCGTCATGCAAAACAATTTTACGAATTGAGTTTGTTATTTTCGTAAAAGTTCAATTTTTCTGTGACTCTTCCATTAGAATACGTGTTAAATTGAAGTTCATCAAACATTTGATATTTAAAAAACGGTGGAGTGAAGCGGTCTTAAATTTTACATGTAACTTTTTAATATCATTACAAACATCCTGTTAATTTTAAAATAAATTAAATNTTCCGGACGCAAATGTGGAACTTCATATCCGTCACATATTTTTTGAGAGTAAAAATTTCGAATACGTTGATTTACTCTTGTGCATAACGTGTCTATAGAAATACAACATAAAAAAAATTTTTTAAAAACACTCAATCGATACAAAGTTTTTTTTTTAATCAAGCAGGAATAAAAATATTAAGAAATAAATTTAACTCATAAACTTTTATAAGTGGGCCATTTTAACGTAAATTAATTTTTTTTCTCACATAAGCACACATTTTGTGTTCTGTTCTACTAAACAAGCACCTCAGTACTTTTTGCAACTTGTATAGTCTTTATAAAACTAGTTATAAACTAGCCAAAGACCATAGCTATGTTCGTTTTCTGCAAAAATCCACGACAGAAACTTCAGAAGATAAGGGCCAACGAAGTAGACATTGATTAGAGCTACTCCACTAAGTATCTGGGCATAACGCTAGATCGATATTTTATGAGGGAATTGTATAAATAAAGCCTTTTTGAATAAAAAAGCAGTATCTCAGATAACCAGGCTGTAAATCTTCAATGCTGTTATCGGGGGCACCAGTGCCTATGCGATCTCCACTTGGGGCGCTGAAAGGAAGACTGACTTCATGAAGTAGGTACTAAGATCGGTTCTAGGTACTCCTTGGAAATACTTGAATCATCAAGGAGTTAAAATCGTCCCAACAGTTCAGGTAGACCCCGTTCTCATCCAGATCAGACGCCCCCTCAAACAGCAGAACGAAAATAACCCCCAACACTAGGTCTTCAATATACCATACTTCCTTTTTGACAATGTCTTCAAGTGCACTGAATAGAAAATTTCGTCGATCTAAATAAACGTTTATACGAATAGAAAAAAAAAATTAACATCATTCAAATAAATATTTATTAAAATCCATTAAATATTACGTTATAAAGAAGTTATTTATTTGTTTCAAGCTAGCATTATTTGATTTTAATAATTATTTATTAGTTTGTATTCTTATAAGCGTTTATTTGAATTGACGAAATTTTATTTCAGTGTGTGACTTGTCACAGACACACGCACACGCACACGCACACACCGAGAGAGAGAGAGGAGAGAGACGGTCGTTTTTTAAATGGCACATTTTCATTCCTAACATCATGGAAAACATTTCAAAAAAGTTATTGAAAAAAAATTTTTTTTCGTTTCAAAGGTTTTTCGATCAGAAAGTAATGAAATTAACAATAGAACCTTGTTTACGAATTTTTTTAGTGTACAGAAAAGGTTACAGAATCATTTGTATTTTTTAAAGTAACAACTGTATATTTGTACACATATCATAATTTACAAAACTACTAGACAGATTAACTGCACTCATTAGGAATATTTTCATTTTGGTATAGTACATGTCCCGACAATTAGTTTTGTAAATCGAAAATTGTATTGACTTATTGATCATTCAATTTTTTTTACTTTTTGTCTTGCTAAAAAAACGGTGTAACGTAGTTAACCTATATACATTATATAGCCTGATTACGGTCATTTATATATTTCACATTTTGCTATTAGTTAAACCCAAGGATGGTTTCATCAAATTGCGATTCGAATTACATTTTATAAAACGAACAAAAAGCTTCATTCGAAATTATACTCTTTTTTGAGATGAGAAAACAAATGGCCATCACTTAGAAGAGCATCGAAATAAAGAGCCTTAGTCGTAACTGTAAGGTTAAATTACATCGTTTTTGTTTGTATTTTTCCTAATCAGTGCGATCGTTCGGAAAATATGAAAATGACGGTCTATATAAGATTAATCGAAAACTTGAATATCTTTAGTTTTATGACTGTAATATGGTGAGATTTTTAATTTGATTTTGTCTTGGATTTTCAATGTCTCGAGGTGTTGATGTTCCTCTACTAAGAACTTGATTTTAGCGCCTCTTTCTTCAAGCTAGTTCTCAAAAACATAAAAATGAAATTACTTCATTTGTATAATGATTTTAAGATAAAATAATTTATAACTGAACCACTTTCATTTTTGTAAAATATTTCTAGGATTACAAAAAGAACTAATTATTATGTATACATAAATTTAATATTATTTGTAGTTAACTAATCAGATTATTAGATTAAAATATGCTTTTGCTCACAGCCTGTTATCACGGGTGGTCTAGAAATAATTTATGGCTCCTATCCTGTCGATAGGTTTGTGTGACACACATAATATTATTTATTACTTAAACAGCTGTATTACTAAATTTTCATGTAATTCACTAAATTTCCATGATTTTTTCATTTTTCATGTATCGTATTGCAACAGTAAGGATCCAAAGTTTGTCCGTCGACTATGTTAATGTTACTTATCAGTAGATAACACAGAGGAAGCCGTGTTTTTCATTCGTGCAAGTATTGGCTTTAGTAATTATGCGAATGGTAAAGACAGAGAAAAAAAAGAATAAATTTTGATTGCTGAGTTTCAACTGGTGATGGCTGTATTTTATTTTTAACGCGCAAAAAGAGGAGGAACAGTTCGGCTTTTGCGCATCTTTATCTTCTTCCAACTCTCATCACATATGTATCGCAACGTACATATGGCCCTGACGTTTGGTCATCGAAAGATAAACGTTTAAATAGTTTGATGCTAGCCACGAGTTTGAAAACAGTAAGAGAAGAGGAGGAGAAAAGCGAGAGAAAAAAAACATCGGGTGTAGTCCCGATGCAACAATAGGAACTAACGACGGAAAAGTTTTAATTTGAGCATCTGAGAACAACTGACGGCACTGGCGTTTCTGTAAAAAAAAGAAACTTTAATTTTTTACCGCGGGCACAAGGTATGGCAAAGCTCATTATCCAAAAGGTGAGATTAGAAGTTAAATCTCATACAATTTTCCTCGACTTTGAACTGTCCATTCATGCGACTGTTCGCGCTATTCGATTGACCTCACCGATGAGAGGATGCCATCCTCCATTTAGGTCAAAGGTGATAGAGAAACATTCAAGAGATACAAGTGTTAAGTGTCGAGTACAAAAAACAAAATTTCGAAATAAGTTAACTTTTCAAATTTTTTTAGTCTGCCACCTTTTACGTCCTTAGGGAGTCAAAGATTGTTTTACTGAACCCAATAAGTATCATTGCAGAGAACAACAACGTGGAAGAATTTCGTGACTATATCCTTGATAATTACATCGAAGACTAAGCATTTGGATCTTCCTCTACTCGGGCTAAGCTTTTATCATCCCACTGTTGAACAACAAACAACTGTGCGTCATTTTATTCGTACTTTAACAATATGTTTAATGAGTTTAATCTGAACTTATTCCGATTTGTAGAAGCTCTCAAAGCAGTTCAAATTGAAGTATGTACAATTCGTCACCTTTTCCAGATTTGGAAACCAAATCAAAAACTCCTTAAACAATAACTATAGTATTTTAAAAGCTGGTTTAAATTATTACGATGAAGCATCTTTATTTTGCAAAAATTGTTAGTATATGGAAAGTAACTAAATTGAAGCTAATTTACGTAAAAAAAAGAGCTTTACTTGAATATGCC